AACAGGTGCAGGCTAATTATGCTAATCATGGCAACAGCCAAATAAACTGATTGCCATGTTCATTTAAATGACAGCAATGTTCCTTTGGTGGCTAATTAAAATGGGTTGGGAGAAAGGAAACGAGGCGGTGGGTTCGGATGGGAGGGAGGTGTTTAAATAAAAGCCTTCTCTGGGGTCTACTGTAATAAGCTGTATTTCATTGGTTTAATGATGTCATAATGAATTTCTAATGATGGGGGATGGGTTAGGGTGCAGAGAAGGGATGTGTGGTGATACATGCATGATGCTACTTTCTCCCTCTGCAAAAAGAGAAGGCAGCAAGGGAGCCCTAGCTTATGTTGCATGTAGCGTACAGTATTCCTGGATGAAATGAGGTAAGTAATGGAAATAAAAATCAGTAGAGTACATCAAGTGGGGTATGTGCTCCATCTGTTTCAATGCTACCCCCTCTGGAAAGGATAGCAGAAGGTTTTGAAGGGGCAATTACTTTTTCTCAGCACTGGGCCCGGTCGGCCCCAGACTCCATTTACATGTGACCCAGGAAACAGGCATCATTAGAGGGAGAGATGGCGATCAGAGGCCAGGGGAGATGAACTCTGGGGTCCCCTGAAAGCCACCGTGGAGGTATGAAAGGTGCACAGAGTCTGATTAGTGTTTATAGAGGCAGCTGCTATGAAAAACCATCTCTCTTCCCTTCCTCTCCCCAATGTCCTCTGTTTTAATTCTGCTCTCTTCCAGGGGAGATTACAAATCCACAGTTTAGATCTTTGCCAACACCCCATTTGTTTTCAAAAGGAGTGCAAACAGGGACATGCTTTTCTTTCATGGTGAAATCGCTCCTTTTATTATTATTTTAGTTTGTTGTCTTATTCTTCACAAGAAGTTAACGATCTGTAAAATGATTATTGGCCAAGAAAATTGGGTTCATTTTTTTACCAGATAGCGGGGACAATTCTGATATCAAACTTAGCCACCATAGTATCTAAGCTGTTTCAGTTTGGTATTCATATCATATTGCAGGAGAAAAGAACCTTTGGGTGCACTCGAGCCAAAACTGTCAGCTTATGTGTCTTTGGAGGAATGAATCACACAAGTGGCATCCAAAGCAACTGCACAACTCACCATGATTTACAGTCAGTGACAAAGGTGATGAATCTGGAAGCCAAAATAAAAGATTCTAAAATCGTGTAATAAAACATTCAACCAGAGCTGAGAAAAGAACAGATGAGTATCAGGGCCAGGCATTTAATTTAGCTTCCCGGAAGGTTCGAGTGAAAGGGAAAATGCAAAATGGTACATGGACATGAGCTTGAATAGCCCTTTTCTAGTCTTCTGGCTACTCAAAGCGCTTTGTAGTCAGAAGACTAGAAAAGCACAGTGAATGAGTAGGTGACACGCAGGTCACACTTACCCATTCACACACTGATGGCAGAGGCTGCTATGTTAAGTAACCATCAGAAGGGCAACTTGGGGGTTAAATGTCTTGCCCAAGGACACATCAGACATGTGGCTGCAGGAGCTGGGGATCAAACACCCAACTTTCTGGTTGGGAGACGACGGAATCTAACAACTGAGCCACAGTCGCACAATGCACAATGCACCATGGAAAAAGCACCATAAAATGTGTCAAAAAGGAAAGGTCTACACCAAAATGTCTTCTCCAAATTTTATACATGGTCATATTAGAATAAAATGCAACATTAGGTTTGTTTTAGGAGCCTCAAAATGTCCATCTCTGTAAAACAGAAGAGTTGAACAGGTAAAGTCTAGCCTAAGTGGCAAAGCACTTTCCAACAAATCTGGAGAGTTATTGTTTTAATCCTTTTTTTCCATTATTTCCCTATTCTTTCTTTGTGTTGTGTGAAAACAAAGGATTGATAAACTAATGATATAGATATAGAAGAGACGGATAATACTTTGCTATAATAAATAAAAGGGAGGTCAGAATTCCTTTTATTTGTTATCAGATGTGCACACAAAGAAACTTTTGTGTCCAAGTAACGAAAGGAGAAAGACCACGAGTGATGACTTTCAAAAATACAAAAGACTTAAGAGAATCCGACTGCAGGAATAAAAAAAAGGGCTTTTTTTCCTTTTGTTTATCAGGCATTCTCACTATTTAAATGTATGCCACATTAGTAGGGATCTGCTCAATTCAATATATTATAATGTGATGTTTGGCCTTAATGGAAAATCAATGGTGAGACAAGCCCGCCACCGCTGAGACCATACAAAAGCAATTTCCAAATTGACATATGGAGGGCCTGTGTGATTGATTCTGACTGCTGTTGGATTTTAATACCGTTCACCGTGAGCTCATTGACTCACAGACATCGTCTTGTGGTTTATCTACAAAATGCCAAATGAGTCCTTGTCTCCTTTTTCTTTTCTCTCATCTTTTCCTTCTGCGTCTGTCTCCAGCCAAAGCAAAGAGAGTGGATACGTTGAATTATAAATGTTGGATAAACGAGCCAATGACTTTCAGCAGATGCATCCTCTTTGTAATCGATCACAGCGAGTTTTACGTTTTATTCAGACCGCTCTTCATGTTTTTTATGTGTTTCTTTTCTCAGCTGGAAAGCTACAATATTGAGATTTTCAACCGCACCTACCCTGACACAACGAAATCAAATGTTTTAATCAGTTATACGACTTCATACTTTCTTGCATTTCATTACAGCCTACTAGCCAAAAACGGAGGTTTGAGAAAGTGGAGGAAAAGAATAGACTGGTATCAAGTGTTATTTTCTTTGTCCCAGCTGACTAAAGTACATCTTCCTCCAACTAAGATTATTTTTTGGGAGAGGGGCATATGAAATGACAAACTGTGATCAATATGGAAGCATATCATCCATATGGAATAGCCAAACAACCCTTAACAGATAAAGAGTACTGGGGGGGGTGAATACGTTAGGTCTGGTATTCATACTCTGAGTGATGTGATGGGAGAGACCAGATTTAAAGTGTTTGATTAAATTAAAAACAAATTCCCCAAATTTTAGCTCAAAATTTCGTAAATTCTAAAAGCAGACATTACATTCTGAAAAATACAAAATATATTCAGGAATTCAGGAGCTTTTACTTAAGATAAAAAACAAAAACAATTGAGTGTCAAAATGTAATGAATACAGTATATTGGAGGCACACAACTGCCTAAACTGGATAACTAAAAAACCTAAAAAAAACAAAATGTTAGGAGAGGGACGTAGATCAGAAATCTGTGATATATCAAAACATAAAAAGTTAGCTTTATGACAGAGTGTAAGATAAATCTACACCGCTGTATATCATTCACTAAGTCCAGTTTTAAACAACATATAGAGGTATTATGTACAGTGGAGAGCTATGAGCGGGTTGCTAATAGAGTGGCAGGGAGGGAGGATCTATTTAATGAAGCGTGGGGCCTTTTCCTCACTCATTGGATGGATATAAATGACTGATGCTGTCGGTATAGATTTTTGTTTGAATGTTAGTTCAGAATTGTGTTGTCCTCTCTGACTAGACTGGAATGTTACTGCCAGGCTGTGGACTTTTATTTTCTCTATTTAATATTTTTTGTTAAAAACAGATACTGTATATCAGCAGTCTGTGAGAGAGAACTTGTCATTTCTGTGATAATGTATATGTATATGTGTGATCGAAGATATATGAATATGGATTAAGAGCCAGTCGCCCTCAATAAGAACTAAGAAACTGACACTTATTTACATTTTAAAAAAAAATCTGGTAATATTGAAACAATAAATCACAACAATCTTTATCAATTTGTAACATACAACAATTACTGAAATGCTCATCACACTTTCTAAGACCAGAGAATCGTTCACAAAGTTTGTCATTAATGAGAAAGAAAAGCAAAAAATCCTCACATTGAATAAAATGGAAACAGTAAATGTTTGACATTCTGTTTGGGAAATAAAAGAGACAATACAATGATGATCAATACAGCAAAACATACATTTTCTTTCATCCAGCTCATTAATTATTGTTGAATAAATCAGCTTTACATCCATCAGTCCATCTATCCATTCTCTACCAGTTATCAAAGTTCAAGGTCTGGGTTGAAATGGCAGCAGGCCTAGTAAAGCACCCAGATGTGCTCCACTCTAGCCACAATCTCCTGCTGTTCGCGGCAGGGGATCCTGAGACATTTAAGGGCCCGGTTGGATGTGTAAACTCTCCACACATTTGGAAACAAGCCCAGACCATCCCAATAGGAGGGCGTTCATGAGGCATCCTGATCAGATGCTCAAAGGCAAACAGCAGTTCCATTACTATCTCCTTCTGAATGTCTGTTCTGCAGGAGTGCCCACTCAAATTCCATGCAACAAACCTCAATTCAGGACGATGAGAACAGTAACACATGATTACCCACTTAATAAACACAAAAAAATCCTCTTGGATATCCCACTAAAACACTCAATAAAGTTATAATGATGTGCCAGTGAGTCAGCTTGCCTTTACTGCTGAGCCAACACACTCATCCACACTGAACTCACACTGTAAAAAAAGCAGAGTTGAGTACAAGTCTAGTCACTCAGTGACATCAGATGAGATTGCTGACCCTGAAGTGTTACATCAAATGCTCATCTGGAGTTCTTGGCTCTATGGTGAAGCTAATGTAGCTGACAGATTTGACTTTGAACTACCTTTAAACTCAAGGAAGTCACGTGGACATGCTGAAAATTGAATGTCTTGTGAGAATTAAGAAGAGAGAACTTTTAATTCCAAGGAAATATATTTATTTGACAACCCCAGTTTATCAGCCAATCTGAAAAAAAATATTTCATAAAAATACCAAAACCCATATCTTGTCTTTACATCAGACAACATGATAACGATACGATCAGTTCCACAAGCAGCATCATGTCTCCAAGGACTCGCTGTAGTTAGAATACAGCCTACAGGCTGCACTAATCACAGTGTCAGTTACAGTGCAGAGTACATTTTCCAGGGTTGAGAAGTAGAGCTTTCATCCATATGTTAAATGTTGAACTTACTTTGCCAAAGTCCCTGACATCAAAGAGGTCGTAGGGGTCAAACAGCTCGCTGTTACGCAGGCCGAACTTGTCGTGGCACACCTTGAGAAATGTCCGGATGTTCTTCAAACACAAGAACTGCGGGGAAAGAGAGAAAAGTGCAATAAATTAACCATGAAACTGAATCTTGCACACGTAATTCAAGCAACAGTATAGTGTTAACCTATGGTATTCTGTAACACAGTGATTGACGCAGCAGAATATTTGCCCCCAGAATCATGTTACAACATGCTGTTAAATGCATCAATGAAACAGTGATTTTGTAAATATTACATTTCCTAGTTGATGATTGGCATGTGTTTCTTATGGTGTATGTGTGATTATTCCGCAGCAGAAGGAGAGCAGGCTGATTGTTGCTCCTGAGGCTGATGGGCTGACGCTCTGAACCAGATAAGCAGAGCCACAGAGGAGCCAGAGAGGAGCCCGTCTGCTAACATCAGAACGTCAGAGCACAGACGAACCCGATGGCAAAGAGCTACCCAGGGGTAAACCTAGTCTGCTGGACTGAGATAATGACCTCACACTGAAAGGTCATGGGTCAGAGAGCTGACAAAACAACAACCATATGACTAAGGGAATAACACTGAAGCTCTAGCAATCAGTGAACTCATTTTAATGATTCCAATGCTTTCAAAGTCAAACGCTGAGGAAAGGAAACAGAAGCAGATCACACAAGTAAGATGATGAAAAAGTAAAAGGCTGCCAAGCACTGCCGTAGATAAAGGGAATAGTGTTAGTCAAGATTTTCGATACTTAAACACTTTCCAATACCAAATGTTTTAAGACATGCAATCTACTTTTTCAATGACTTATAGTATCGAAAAGTACTTAAGCTTGGTGGTACTTAATTTATTTTTTCACTACCCTACTACAACTTTTAAGCCTGTATTTACAACTTTGTCTGAGAAATCCATCTGTGCAGTGTTTTAATCATACAAGAGAGAAACCTGGACAAGTGCCTAATGGATAGAATCTCCAAGCCAATACACCAACGGATACTGGCTAACTGCTGATTGGTATCTGCAATTGCAACAATGGCTACTTCCAAGTTATGCAAATTAAGCACATCCCAATTTATGATAAATAGTCAATAAAGGGGAATGGTAGGGTTCATTGAGACCCTGCAGCAGCCAAGAGAAACTCATAACAAACTGCATAATAAATACGCTCTGCTCACAAAATATGGATGGTCCCAGTCTCTAAAATATGCCATCATCACACAGACAAACCTGGAGGGCTGGGGGACAGACTAATACCTGCCCAGGAGGGTTGAAATATTAATGATAAGCATTACTGCCTCCCATTCATTCATACTTCTGGGTGTGAAGAACACATTACCTAGCATGTATATGCTCTTTCATTTATCTGTGTGTGAGCGTTACAGAACAGATGGCCATGAACGCAGCATGTACGCTAAACAAGATCTGAGTGAGAGAGTCGATCTGGAGACAAAATGCTTGACTGCATGTTTCTCTCAAAGCTTATACCACTTACATCAACTTTAAAATGGCTGTTGCATTATACTAATGTAGCTAAGCAACCAGAAGGTCACAAATCACATTTGGTTCATGCTTGCCTGCTTTCAAGGCAGCAACAACAGCACCAGCGGGTTTTTAGGTAAAGTAATTCCCTGCAGAGTATCCCCCTTCATCAAGCATGAGAGGCACACCAGTGTTCTTATTTAATTTTAAAACACACATTTTTGACAAATTTTAAATTTGCACTGTAACTTATTTGAAAAAAAACAACAACATAGGTTTATTGAATCCTGACCTCTTCACACCCCACCTTTTTATTCCAGCATCATTATATTATTAAAACTTAAAAGTCACATGTTTTCAACAAGTTTAAATAAATGTCAGAGCTCCCCTTAACGTGTCTTTCAATTTTATTGTGCTAAAGCTCCACTCTGATCCTGTATTAGATAATGCCTATAAACCCCTCTATTTCAGCCCTGCTCAGAACAGGCTGTTTCTGTGTCTGACCACACCCCCACTCTGGAAGGGGATGTGGCTTGAGCTTTCTCGCATGGTGCCCAATTGTTTACAGTGAGAAGGCAGACCAAGAAGGCAGAACACAGAACTAGCTGTGGGAGTGTGACTCAACTGGGGGAGGGGTTACTGCCCTTTGTGATGTCATAAAGGGAAAATCACCAAACAGCCTGTTTGAGCACACATTTTCTGAAAGGTTGAGCAGGCAAAAGACAGAGAAGATGGACTTTTTCATAATTGGTGGGTTTTTAAACCAGCTAGGGACACATATTTGTGTATGAAAACATAGTAAATTGTATTTTGCATAATATGTGACCTTTAAAACAACTGAGTATTTGGACATAGAAAGGTATACCAGTCATGTGTGCATTATCAACGGTGCAGTATTTAATTGAATGCTCCCCTTTGCTACTCTTGTATTTGCACATCAATGTTGCATAAAGCAACTCTGGTTGGTGAAACAAATATTTTTTTTCTAAACTAACTTCCACATTATTTCATTTAACGTTCAGACTCCATATTGGGCCCCATGTTTTTCGAATGGGTCCATAAAATATTTTCACTTTAACAATTTATTGGTGGAATCTGCAGGTTCTGTGGTTGTCCTAAATATTTCGTACATTTATTTGCATATTAATAGTTTACTCTGTTTATCTTCCCCTTCCTGAGGCTACTCAACTCTCTTTTCTCACATTAAAGATCAATTTATATTTTTATGTTTCATCTTGCTTATTGATATTTTATGGCCCTTCAAATAATTACAGAATTGCTGGTGGTTTAAGTGTAAGCCATGTTGTTTTGTGTTGCTATATCAAATATGTGAATCATCATCATTAGCTTCCACACGTTGGTAAAAGATCACAACAATCTACTCCTTGTAACCACTCCAGTAGTTTCTCTGATGAAAGCAAAGTTCCATCTGATTTGGTTTCCTGGTATTCCGTGGCATTTCAATCGTCCTCTCCTGGCCACATCTGAGAGCCCTGCTGACTCATTCTCATTCATGTGCGCACATCTGCTCGGTCCCAGTGTCATGGGTGTGAACCCCATAACAGAGCCACACTGGCCAGCGAAAAGAACCGCGATTGGCTGGCTAGCCGAGGTGACATTTGCAGTTCAGCGACGAAGGTTATCGTGTCTGCAGATCCTCATGTGCAATGGGGAGGGGGGAGGGAGGGAAAAAAAGCTTATTTTCCCAGCCCAGATATGAAACGGTAACATTTGCTGGAGTGGTTTGGAGACGAGAGAGGCCCGGCAGATATGGATCACGAGGGGGAAGATGTGTCTGACATTCTAATGTATGTTTGGCGATAAGAGAGCAAGGATAGGGGTAAAGAGAATTGTTATGATCTTTGTGAGAAATATACACCTTTTCTCATGGAGTGGAGAGTGTGAGTGCACCTGGGAAATAAACAGGCCGCAGTCATCTCTTCAGGCTGAGGCTGCCCTCAACACAATCCATCTGGAATTACGTCACTGTGGTCTGCAACACTCACGGCAAAATACAGATATTCCTCTTTATTTCAGAATATAGAGAGTGCAAAATACACACGCAACGATAGGAGAGCTGTGTATACATAAAACATGAGAGAACCTTTGAACCTCAAGCAATCAGATATTATATTGATCCCCAAAGAATTTCACAAGTGTTCAAAACATTATCTCAGCAGTTCTTCTTCATTAATCAGCCATTAACAGATAACAGATAACAGTTAAAGGGGCAATATGTAACTGACAGCTAGCATTTAAAATGGGCACTGCTGTCAAAGTTCAAAATATTGGAGAGAGCTGTCTCCCAGAGTTGATGTGAACGCAGGCTGCCGTGTTGTTGACACTGATGCTTCAGTGTTTAACCATCTCTGTATCGGCCTTGAAACCTTTCTGCGTTTAAACTTCTCTATTTTTTCCCCCTCATTTTTATGGTCAGGTAGAATCAGTTATATCTGAACCAAATGGCTGTGTGGGGATGCTGCCTACTTCTCTTGTCAAGAACAAAAACAAACCAGGAATCAAAACTTAGAAGGAAGACATACTGGTTGCTGCATTGTTGATATAGAAGCCAGCACTTAGACATAGCATGTTTTCTTAATGTTTGATCATATAGTAAAGTCATTTATAGTTTAGCTCAGTAGATATCTTACATATTGGACCTTTTAAGTTATATTAATACATACATAAATAACGATTCACATATTAACTAATTATAAAAAACGACCATCACAAGTTGAAAGGAAAATACAATGAAGACATCTTGTCCACCAAATAAGAAGGAACACTTCTTTAGAAACATTTTCTTACAATAATAGCAACAGATTGGACTTTTCATTTTAAGGACTGCAGATTGGATCATTATTGCAATACTGCTGTAATCTATTTCATTACTCAGGAGCTGTTTCAAGCAACAAGAACTAACTTTCTCCCACATATGGTTTTACTACTACGCATTACAATAAAAGCTGATTGCAAATGAAGACAGCCTGCAGGTGTTTGTTCCCTTTTGGCAATTACATTACTGCTGCTTTGCTTGTGCACCTGTCACCTTAGACTCAGAAGGCTGCAAAGCAACTATTTGAACAAAGTCTAAAGAAGAAAAATAACAAGCATGAATGAGAGGATTTTGACAGTTTTTTCACATTTTTTACACCTTCTCTTAAATATTCAGTGGCAAATATTTAACATTTTTGAATGTTATTCTTGTAAATTTGTGCATTTAAAAATGATATGGGGCAATTAGTTTGGTTTTATTGGTTAATAACTTGCAAAAGGAGTCAACATTTTTTTTGTGCCAAATCGTACACCACCAGGGACAAAGATAGAGAGGGAAGGCCTCTGGGTGGTCTCTGCTGTAGTCAGGCAGTAGACTTTTTAAAAGGTAGCTTGCGTGCTCCACTGGAGCGACAGCACTGATGTCACTTCTCAGTCAAGAGCAAACAACTCTTTAAAGAAGCAGACTTGTTGTCAGGGGCAAAGATGTCAAGGGAGGGAAGCAGGAGGAGGGAGGGGAACCCCAAAGACGAGAGGAGTCAGGTAACAAAGCCCCATCACATCCCCGACAAGCCCTTCTACCGTATCACTGCGCTACATCAC